CTACACCTGGCATTGGATTTTTATTGTTTAATCTGTGGCTTTTGGGGAGAAAATTGTTACCCCAAGTGCTGTAACACATACACATGTAATTGTAAGTAAACATAAAATAGTATCATTCCCTATGGCTTTTTCAAACATCTTTAAGGGTATTTATCCTCCTCTTTCTTTTTCTGTGTTATCCTCTCTCCCATTCTCCAGGTAAGTCTCTCCCAGTCCTGTTTTTCATAATATCCATTTCTTTATTGTTTGTTTATTTTTGTGATGCTGTGGATAGAACTCAGGCCTTCTCATATCCTAAGTCAGCCTTATACCAGCTCTTTCGTTGTCAATTAAAATATTCCTACAGGGTAGTAAGACCCTGTCTGAAAAACTTACATAAAATGGATGTTTAATTTTTTTTAAAAAATGCCATATCATGTGCTGGTCCCCTCTAAGGTCAAAAGGGAGCACTGGATTCCCTGGAACTAGAGTCACAGGTGGCTATGATCTTCCTGGTGTAAGTGCTAGGCACTGAACTCAGGTCCTCTGCAAGAGCAGCAAGTGTTCTAAAGTACTGGGCCATCTCTTCAGTTTTAGGATGCTCAATTTGTCAAATGACAGTATGTGAACACTGTTGCTAGGCCTGGTGGGTTGCTCAATGGTGGAGCAAGGGTCCTGGGTTCCATCCCTAGCACTACAAAAAAGCTACTAATTAATGTTTGTTATTATTATTATTATTATTATTTGGTTTTTCGAGACAGGGTTTCTCTGTTTTGGAGGCTGTCGGTCCAGCCTGGCCTCGAACTCACAGAGATCCGCCTGCCTCTGCCTCCCGAGTGCTGGGATTAAAGGTGTGTGTCACCAACGCCCGGCTAATGTTTGTTATTAATCATTATTGCTACAGATATTTTGCAACTGAGAGTCTGATAAGCATTTTCTTTTTTTTTCTTTTACGGTCTCATAATTTTCTTTGTCTTTTTAAATAAATCATTTTACATTCACATACTTATTTATGCATGTGTGCATGCCCACACATGTACCGTGGTGTGGTTGTGGAGGTCAGAGGTTGACGTCCAGGAGCTCTTTCCTTCAACCACGTGGGTCCTGGGGATCAAACCCAGGTTGTCTGGTTTGGTCATAAGCACCTTTACCCTTTGAGTCAGCCCATATTTGTAAAGTTTGGAATTAGCACACAAATTGAAGTGTCCTCTGGTGTCCTCAGACACTTCTCTGCTGGTCTCCCTGTCAGTCCCTGTCCCCATCGCCCCCACCCCACCCCCTTCTGTCCCTGGGTAACAAGCGTGACAAGTATCTTGTTACATTTTCCCTGCATGAGTTCACAGGCAAATGTGGGTGTATTTATACCATCCTATGACCACCCTCACAAGCGGGAGAAGCAAGGCATATTAGTGTGCAGCTCTCCTTCCCTGATATGGTCCACTGTGTCAGTTTCACTTCGGCATTTACCCTCTTGTCCATGGGAGGGTGGAAGATGCCCCCTGCCCCTGCCCCCCCCTCCACACCCACACCCCCGCACGCGCCAAGCACATGAGGCTGAGCTGCGCTTTACCTACCTCCCGATTTTATAAAACAAAAAAAAAGAGGCACTTTTGTTTTGAAAGATCTGTTTTTTATTTGTGTGTAAATGTCTTACATGCGTGTATGTGTGTGCAGGTGTCCTTGCAGACCAGAAGATGGCACTGGCTTCCTTGTAACTGGAGTTGTAAGCAGTTGTGAGCTGCCATGTGGGTGCTGGGAAATGAACTAAGGTCTTCTGGAGGAGCAGCCAGTGCTTGTAACTGCTGAGCCATCTCTCCAGCCCTCCCCACCCCCACCCATCTCTCCAGCCCTCCCCACCCCCACCCATCTCTCCAGCCCTCCCCACCCCCACCCATCTCTCCAGCCCTCCCCCCACCCATCTCTCCAGCCCTCCCCCTCCCTCCCTCCCTCCCTCCCTCCCTCTCTGTCTCTCCCTCTCTGTCTCTCTCTCCCTCTCTCCCTCTCTCTCTCTCATGTGGAGGTCTGAGAACAACTTGGAAGAGTGGTTCTCTCCTTCCACCTTGTGGGTCCTGGGACTAGAACTCAGGCTGTCAAGATTGGCGACAAGTGCCTTTAGTCTTTCCGCTATCAAGGCGGCCCTATTTATTTTTTTTGAGACAGGGACTGATGGTGCCGGGTTGGCTCCTAATAGGTTTGTAGCCTAGGATGAACTCCTGACCCTGCTTCCTGAGTGCTAGGGTGACGGCAGCAAGTCCAGCTTCCGATCCCTTCTACAGAAGTTTGGGAGTGGAACTCCCCCTTCCCTTAGTTTCATTGCTTTACTTCGCCTGGGTCCCAGGCTGCCTTCAGTTTAATTTGTTGCTGGAATATAACACGTACGCACTTGTCAGCAAAGCCAGGAAGCACAAAGGATTTCCATAATGCAAGCAGGGTTGCCTTCCTCCCCTCCAGCTCTTCTCGCAGTTCCTCTTCCAGGAAGTCAGATACTTTCTTTTTCCTGTGTGATTGTGGACTCTTCCCACTTACATACTTACCCAGAACCTAAGGTCTGTGGGGACAGCAGCACATCGCTGTTCACTGGTCTACCTCCAGCCTTGCTTTGGTTTCTGAAGCACTGGAGTGTTTGGATGGCAAATGCAAAGAAAGACTCATTCACTTGTGCAAGTGGTACCTCTTTATTCTATTTCTTTCTATCTTATTTTCCATGCTGGGGATGCAATCCTGGGCTTTAGGCATCACAGGCAGGGACTCTATCTCCTCTAGTTCATATTGAAAGGCTTACTCTATCTAGCAAGTCATGCTACGTAACAGAAAATGACCTAAACTCTTGATCCTCCTGCCTCCACCTACTCAAGTGCTTGGATTACAGGCTTGCATCCAGATCGCCACTTACTTCCTTGTTTTTTGTGGTACAGATGGAACTCAGGGCCCTGTGTACGAGAGGCAAGTGATGTAACCCTGAGCCACACGCCTCCACAAATGGTTGCTTTTTTGCTGTTGTTGTTTGTTTGGTTGGTTTGGTTTGAGTTTTGTTGTTTTTGTTTTTCGGTGTTTCCAGACAGGATTTCTCTGTGTAAACAGCCCAGGCTATTCTGGACCTTGCTTTGTAGACCAGACTGGTCTTGAACTCACAGAGACCCACCTGCCTCTGCCTCTTGAGTGCTGAGATTAAATGTGTGTACCACCATGCCTGGCCATAAATGTTTTGAGGCAGTTATGGGGCACAGTCTCTTTTTTTGTTTGTTTTGTTTTTTGTTTTTTGAGAAAGGGTTTCTCTGTGGCTTTGGAGGCTGTCCTGGAACTCGCTCTGTAGTCCAGGCTGGTCTCGAACTCACAGAGATCCGCCTGCCTCTGCCTCCCGAGTGCTGGGATTAAAGGCGTGCGTCACCAAAGCCTGGCTGGGGCACAGTCTTAAAGATATCAAGGGGGAAAATGCTCTCTGCTCTTATGGAGCTTATGTTTGGGTGGGCAATTTACCTTCTGTTTTGTTGTGCTTATTTATTTTTTTTTGTTTTTAATTATGTGCAATTGTGTGTATTCATGTATGGGTATGTGCATATGAATGCAGGTGCCCACGAGGCTGGGGATGTCGAATACCGAGGCTGGAGTCCTAGGAGGTTGTCAGGTCTGTGGGTGCTCACTGAGCCATCTCTTGTGCACCTTTTAAAAATTTATTAATTTTATTATTGTGTGTATGTGTGTGTGTGCAACATGGGTGTATGCAGGTATCACAGCAGGCCTTGGAGGTCAGTGGACAACTTGTAGGAATTGGTTCTCACTTTCAACTATGTGGGACCCAGGCATCAAACTCAGACTTTCAGGCCTGTTGACAAGCAAGAGCTTGCTATTGTTTCTGTTTTTGTTAATTTATTTTTTACATTCGAATCCCAGTTTCCCCTCTCTCCTCTTCTCCTGGTCCCCCCACACCCCCTTCCACCTCCCATCTGCTCCTCTGAGAGGGTAAGGCCTTCCCTAGGAAGTCAAGTAAGTCTGTCCCATCATCTTGTTGTGGCAGGACCAAGGTCACTCTCCACCCCCACACCCCTGTGTCTTGGCTGAGCAAGGTGTCTTTCTATGTAGAATGGGCTCCATTAAGTCGGTTATCCTGTTATTGTTTTTAAAATGCATGTATTATTATTGTACATGCATCTATGTATAAATGCAGGTGCGGCAATGCCACGGTGTTGTGTGGAGGTCAGAGGTCAACCTTGTTTCCAGGGACTGAACTTAAGTCAGGCTTCCAGGCAAGCACTTTCCCCTGCTTAGTGAGCTACATAGCTGATCTGTTGTTACTCTTAATTTTGGAATTGTTTCGCTGAGTTGTTTGGAGGGAAGGAGACAACAGGATCATGTAGTCAAGACCGGCCTCAAGCTCCAGAACAAACCTGCTTCTACTTCCCAAGTGCTGGGATTAGAGGCCCGAGCCGCCATGCCCTGCATACGAAGGGCTGAGGATGGAACCCAGGCCTTTGTGCACGCTAGGCAAGCACTCCGGCCACCTGAATCCACATCCCAGCCCGTTGTTCTCCAGAAAGGGTCTCACTTGCCCAGCCTGTCCTGACGAGTCTGAACTTCCTGATCCTCCCAAATCCCAGGTCCCAGGTGCAGGAGCATGTGCCACCACACCCAGTTCTGTTTTGGGGGGGATGGGCGTGGCACAAAGTAGGAATTTGTTTCTTGAAGGAACACACAGTAGGTGCTTAACCCTGAATTGCCGAGTCCTCCCTAGTAGGTAAGCACGATTTCCTCCATTTCCAGGTCCCAGGCACGAGCCTGGAGCAAGGCCTTCAGTGTCTTCCGAAAGAACACAGTTGTTTCAGGTCTATGCCACCTGGGTTAAGAAAGGTGTGACGTCACGCGGCCGTGACATCACGATACGGTTCTCACGGGTGGGGGCTGGGAGGGGCAGGACGGGAGGGGGGGTGCGGACAAAGGGGCCCAGTGCTTCCCCAGCGCGCGCCCTGGCTGACTGGCGGACCACATCTGGAATTCATTGCAAGTCGCCGCCGGAAAGAGGAGGAGAGGAGGGCGGGGCGAGTAGGGAGTGGGGGCCGGAGGCGGCGGCTCTGCCCGCCTCCCTCTTGTCCTGGGTCCCCAACTCCGGGACGTAGACCGAGCCCAGCCAGCAGCCTCCAAACCTAGCCACTGCCTGTCCCGGGGCGCAGACGCAAAGGCCACTCGGGCCAGGCCAGGGACCCCAGCCGGCCTAGCCAGGTGAGCGCGCGGGGCCGAGGGGAGGTTCCGATCTGGGCGGGCCGCGGTCCACTGAGACCGCGGGGATCCGAGCTCCCAGCCCGGGGTCAGGCGCTCATACCGGCTTAGCATGCGCTACTCCAGGCTCTGCTGCACCGAGGGGACCGATCACCCTCCCCCGTGCACTCGTTCCTCCACTCCAGGCAGTTTCCCACCTACTCAGTGGCGCACCCCCAGACGGAGCTCCCCGCCTTCCTCGGGGCAGGAAGTTGGTGCTGAAGAGAAAGGCGGAATCCAAGCGCTTTGGTTTGGCTACTTTGCAAGACAGGAGGGGGTACTCAGGAAGCAGGGTTTGGGGCAGTGGGATTGTTGGGGAGAGGTACAGCATCCCTTCTTCTCTGTCTCCGGCTTGAGCTAGGACGAAAGGTGCTGCGTACGAGCGGCGGGCGCTCGGAGTTCATGGGCGGGGTCCCCAGGGAAGGCCATCGCCCCACCGCCTGTGAGGTTAGGTTTTTTCCTTTTTCTGCCTCAGTTTCCCTGAGTTGCCCCTCTCCTCCGGTGTTCCCTTCGGGAGCATTGCTTTGTTTCAGAAGGTAAGGAACAGTACTGCCTAGTCCAGACGCCTCCTTTTCCTCTCCTAGCCCAGGGACTGGGCATATAGGGGCGAAGGAAGGCACGCGTGGCGTGGAGTCCACATTGTCGCGGGCTACACAGCGTTGGGACCTCGCCCCCTTCTCTGGCACCGGTTGAGTCACCCGGGGATTTCCACCTCCCCTCCCCACCCCCGTCTCTATTCTTGTTAGATGCCCTAGGCGACACTCTTCTGAGCCCACGGTCCCTTGTGGCGGGACATGGGAGCATCATGGGGGATGCAGCTGCTGCAGCTTGGGTCTTCCCCTCGCCCCAGTGCCCGGGGAATCTAGGTGTGGGGGCCCTCCGATGGGATGCAGGGGTGTCGCCTTCGCTTGTTGCCTGGTTCGGGGAGGGGGGCATCCTGCGCGCGTGTCGGGGTCTCGGGAGAGAGATGGCGCCGCCCCAGCGCGGGAGAGTGTGGATACCGCGCATTCCTCGGCCTGATAAGGAGCCAGAGAGTGCTGCCTGGGCCGGGCGGGTCTTACCGTCGTCGCCATGGAGACGCGCCAGGCTTCGCCTAGTGGCTGAGTTGGCGTGCTGCTAGGGGTACTGAGATGTCCCCAAGCTCTTCCTGGGAGCCCTTAATTTAGGGCCCTTTCATTCATTCTTGTGTTTGCCTCCTTTGCATCAGGCGCAAGAGGCTGATCGTGAACTTGATAGCTGGCCTCATTGGGTACTGTGAAAAACAAGATAATTTCTGATGATAAAGCTAGATGCTCTTATAGAAAGGATTCGGGGATGGGCTGGACTGGGCACCATGCCCCATGCCTTTAATCCCAGCACTCTGGAGACTGAGGCAGGAGGATTCTTGTGAGTTCAAGGACAGCCTGATTTACATGGAGAGTTCCTGGTCAGTCTGGGATACACAGACCCTGTCTCAATAAAAGAGAAGGTAGTTCCTGAAGACCTAAAGAGTGACATTCAAACGAAATCCAGATAGAGTCTGCCAGAAAACATGTTTGTGTGTGGGTGGGGTGGGGTGGAGGAGTGTCTGTCGGATATAGGGTAGGCCCTGAGGTCGAGATTCAAATCGTCCTTGGGAGGCTAGTGAGGAGTTTCCATGGGAGCAGGAGTTATACCATTGGAACCCTACGGAGCCATAGAATGAAGATTAAGTTCTTAGTTCAGTCCGTTCTCCCCTGCAGGTGTGGTGGGCGGCGGCAGCATGGGAGGGGCTATAATCACCCAGCCACCAAAAGAGAGAAAAGGTGCTTGCTGGGTTGAGCCTGGCCAGCTGCTAGGGAGGGATGGTTGAGCTCTGGAACTGGGAGGGAGAGGAGCAGAGCCACTAAGCCACCAGGCCTTCCTGCAGCCTTCCTCTCTCCTAATCTTTAGCCAGGCAGTCACGTCCAGATGTCTGCCCTCCCTCTCCAAAGCCTCCCTCTTGTCTATCTTCCTTGCGTTCTGCATCCTGGGAACCCAGGGCTTCAAAAGGATGCTGTGTCCCTGCGTTACACAGAGCTCGCCTTCTTAATTTCATTTATTTATAGACAGAGTCGCACTGTGTAGTTCTGGCTGTCCTGAAACTCACTCTGTGAATCATGCTGGCCCCAAATTCACAGAGATCCTCCTGCCTCTTTCTCCCAAATCCTGCGATTAGAAGTGCACTGCTACAGTGGGCTTTTTAATATTTTACATCTTAAAGGTTACATTTATTTATTTTGTGGGTGTGTCTATTTGGGCATGTGTGCTTCATGGCGTGAGTGTAGAGGCCAGAAGCTTGGTGACACCTTCAAGCCTGGTGACAAATGCCAATGAGCCATCTCAGCATCTCCCAGCACACCCCTTTAATTTCTACTTAGTCAAGGTTTCCCTATGCTTTCCAAGCTAACTTTATACTCATTATGTAGCCCAGGCTGGTCTTGAACTCTCCGTCTTCCTTCCTCAGCTTCCTGTGTAGCTGGGATAATAGGTGTGAACCACCTGGTCAGGCTCATTTTCAGTTCAGAGTCAAGTGGCAACTTCCCCTGCCCCTGAGAAGCAGGCTGGACCACTGTAGTGAAGGGTGACAGGAGACCAGACTCGAGGTTTAGCTGGGTCTTGGCATCTGGACAAAAAGAGGAGGCCAGGCCAACTCCTATCCGCCTGGAGAGTGACTCTTCCTCCAAGGCACCAGCCCATGGGCCCGGCTTCCTCTTTCAGGGAGTCCTTAAACCGCTTAAACCCTTTGGTTAGGAAGGTTCAAAAGGGAAGAGGAGACTGGGGAGACAGCCTGGACCCTAGTTCCCCCTCCTTACTGGACTGTGTGTGTGTGTGTGTGTGTGTGTGTGTGTGTGTGTGCGCGCGCGCGCGTGCGTGTGTAGAGTCTTAGCCTCTGCACAGCTGTGAATATAGTACTCACTGTCTTCTGCCCCCGGGAAAGAAAGACTTTCTGGTCAGTCCCTGGGGTGCTCTGGTGGGCTGGTCACGTTTATTTCTGCAGGAAACGGCCATAATTCTTTCTCTTCCACACCGCCAGAGTGGTGAGGGGTGGTGGATATCCTTGGGAGTCTCAAAGGGGTGCTAAGGGACACACCCGGGGTTGTCATCTACTAGGCTTGCAGTTGGGGGGTTGGTTCTCAAATATGAACCCCAAGAGGAGCCCAGATGATCAGGGCAGAACGGCGTCTGAGGAAGGGTGACCCAACCGCACAGGGACAAGCACACAGCTCCTGAGGAGCAGAGTCCCAGCAGCTTTCAAAAGGGAACCTCTGTAAGAGTCTTCTCAGAGCGCCCCCAGCTGGACCAATCGGATGCCGAGGATGCACCGATTGAAAATGAGCCAATCAGGCTCCTGGCTGCTTCGGCCTGAAGACCTGGCTGTGTGGCCTGAGCCAAGCTGGCCTGGGACCCGCTGCAATGAGCTGAGGGCATTGGTGCACCCGGGGCTCTGTCCAGGCAGGGGAAACAAGGGGCCTCTGTGTGAGGATATGGGTGGGGCAGCTGTCCCCGAGGACACGTACAAGCTCTTCTCTGTTCCCAAAGTAGGACGGATGTCCCCTCGCCTAGGGGGTGGGGAGCAGCTGTGTCTGTAAACCCCCCTCAAAGGCCAGAGTGTCCCACCGAGGGGGTATCCGGCAAAGGAGATGGCTGGGCGACCCCGGGAGACCCCCATCGTTCTCAGTCCTCACTAGGAACCGGCTCTACCAGCCAGCTTCTGGAACCGTGCTCTGTCTGGGAAACACGTGGCCCTTGTCAGGCCTCTTTCCAAGCCCAGGCTTGGGAGAGTGCTTAGCATGTGGCCCCTCCCTGTAACCAAGGACGGGAGCATTCTCTGTACATTGCGCCAGCCCCTCCTAGATTCCCCTACCCTACTCTAGCTGGCCACGGTGTGCTCTCATGCTCTCTGCCCACACAGGCCCCCTCCCCTGCTCCTTCCCAGGCTCAGCTCAGTTTTCCTTGCAAAGGAGGGGTGGGTGACTCAGACTTTCATGGAAACAGATTTCTAACCCTCCTCCCAGCCCCTCTGCACAGACTGCTCCAGGGGGGGGGCCCTTCATGGCTCATGTGACTTCAGCAGCTGCCTCGCCGGGACCTCCGAGACCAGGTCACCGGTGACCGCCTCTTCTCTTCGTTCCCACCCCCAGACTTGCCCACACCGGATGTGACAAGGGCTCTGCCATGTTTGTTCCAGGGGCTTGACACATCTGGATTGCATCCGGCAGTGGAGGGGGTGCCAGCGCCCTGCGCACCTCCCGGGACCTAGTGTCCTTGTGAGATGGTGGGGATGGGAAGCGGCTGTTGGAGTGGGGTTTTTGTTTTGTTTTGTTTTATGGCTAAATCAGCATCCTTTTCCAGAATATTGAGTGGGTGGAGGTAGCCCCAAGGCTTGTGTGTGTTGGGGAAGGGGACACTGAAGACATTAGTTAATACTTGTTGGATATTTCCTATGCTCTCTGTATGTGCTATGCATGTAGGCACATGTGCATGTGTGTGCACACTGTGTGTCGGGGGCATAGGGCGAGTTCACCTCCTGCTCCTCAGATTACATCCCACCCTGCTTTGCTTTGTTTTTGAAACGGGGTTCTTAGTGGCCTGAAACTCTCCAGGTAGATCAGGCTGGGGCTGAGCCATCATCCCCCGTGACTTTTTTATGTGGGTGTTGGGCATTGAACTCAGGTCCTCACGCTTGCAAGGCAAGCGCTCTGCCTACTAAGCCATCTCTTCAGGCCCCGCACATATCTTTTCCTTTTTACTTTTTTCCCTTTGAGCTTCCAGGGGGATCCACCTTTTTACATATCCCCGAATGCTACTGGGTCTATTTAATGTGGGCGTCAAACTCAGGGCGTCATAACTCCAAGGCAAGCACTTCACCCGCCAAGCCGCCTCCCTAGCTCTGGGAAACTCTCCCCTCTCTTCTCCTTCCCTTTCCCCCCTTCTTGCCTTTTCTTTTTAAAGCTTATTATGTTTATTATTATGGGGGGCATAGTGTGTATGTGAGTGTGGGCACACCTTGCCACTGGCACCCAACGTGGAGGTCAGAGGTTAGCTTTTGGGACTCAGTCCTCTCCTACTGTGGCTTTGGGGAACCCAATCCAGGGTGTCAGGCTTGTTCAGCGAGTGCTTTCACCTGTTCACCCATCTCACATGACCCCTTTGTCTGCCCTTGCTCTTGCCTAGGCTGGTCGTGAACTCTTGAGCTCAAGCTGTCATCCCACCTTAGCCCCTGGGGTGCTGTGATTACAGGTGCATATCACCAACCAGGTTTCACACATCCTTGAAAAGGATTTTTCCATTCCTTATGAAGGGATCTTTTGGTACCCATTGTACAGATGGATATGTTGAGGCTAAGAGTCTGAGCCTACAGCAAGTCAGTCTGAAAGTCAGAGTTGGAGTGGGAACAGATAAAACTCTGTCTTGCCACCAAGGTCTATTTCCTTCAAGATAGTGCAGCTTGGGGAAGCCTGTACCTCAGGGCCGTCCTGGTGTCTCCCCAAGTCCTTATCTTTGGGTGTGCCCACGGCCTCAAGGCTTAGACCCAGCCTGGAACCAGGCAGTGGGTGGTAATGATCAGGGGTTAGTGCTGCGGGTAGTAAGAATCTCGCTTACCCAGGTCAGCAGGTGGCATGAAGGTGCCTGTGTGTAGCACAGAAGTGACAAGCTGCCCACGCTCTACCTTGGACTTGCTCCATGGAAGGCAGGTGTGCTGCTAGAAGTCCCGAAAATCTTACCTGTCCCTTTCTTTTCCCTCGAGATAGGGTCCTGTAATACCCGAAAATCTTACCTGTCCCTTTCTTTTCCCTTGAGATAGGGTCCTGTAATACAGCGCAGGCTGGCAATCCCCTGCCTTCTCTTCTCTCTCAAATTCATGGCCTCTATTTCTTTAATTCTCTCTCTCTCTCTCTCTCTCTCTCTCTCTCTCTCTCTCTCTCTATCTCTCTCTATATATATATCTCAATCCATATAATGTTATTTGTATGAATATGATTTCAGGTCATACATGGTGGCACATGCCTTTAATCCCAGCACTTGGGAGGCAGAGGCAGGAGAATCTCAAGTTGGAGGCTGACCTGGTCCAGGACAGCCAGGGTTACAGAGAGAAACCCTGTCATGAGAGAAAAAAATAGAAAGAAAGAAAAAAAAACCTGAACTAACGTCTCCAAGCATCCTGTCTGTCACATGGAGGGGGGCAGTAATGAATGCAGCTTCCCTGGGGTCGCTCTGAGGACTCAGCTAGACTCTGAACCTCTTTAGAACAAGCTCACTGTAGAGCTCCTGCAAAAGCCACGGGTCTAATCTGTTGTCCATTTCCTCTGCAGTTCTCATCCCCCATGGCCCCACCATGGGTGGCTTATACTCAGAGTACCTCAATACTGGGAAGGTTCAAGAACACTACAATTACACCAAGGAGACGCTGGACATGCAGGAGACGCTTTCCCGCAAGGTGGCCTCGGCCTTCATCATCCTCCTATGCTGTGCCATCGTGGTGGAGAACCTCCTGGTGTTGATCGCCGTGGCAAGGAACAGCAAGTTCCACTCAGCGATGTACCTGTTCCTCGGGAACCTGGCGGCCTCCGACCTGCTGGCAGGTGTGGCCTTCGTGGCCAACACCTTGCTCTCAGGGCCAGTCACTCTGTCACTGACTCCTTTGCAGTGGTTCGCCCGAGAGGGTTCAGCCTTCATCACTCTCTCCGCCTCAGTCTTCAGCCTCCTGGCTATTGCCATCGAGAGACACGTAGCCATCGCCAAGGTCAAGCTTTACGGCAGTGACAAAAGCTGTCGAATGTTGATGCTCATTGGGGCCTCTTGGCTGATATCACTGGTTCTGGGTGGCTTGCCCATCCTGGGCTGGAATTGTCTGAACCGACTGGAGGCCTGCTCCACTGCCCTGCCTCTCTACGACAAGTACTATGTGCTCTGCGTGGTCACCATCTTTTCTGTCATCTTATTGGCTATCGTGGCATTGTACGTCCGAATCTACTTCGTAGTCCGTTCCAGCCATGCCGATATTGCTGGTCCTCAGACACTGGCCCTGCTCAAGACAGTCACCATCGTACTGGGCGTCTTCATCATTTGCTGGCTGCCAGCTTTCAGCATCCTTCTCTTAGACTCCGCCTGTCCCGTCCGGGCCTGTCCAGTCCTCTACAAAGCCCATTATTTTTTTGCCTTTGCCACTCTCAACTCACTGCTCAACCCTGTCATCTATACATGGTGTAGCCGGGACCTTCGGAGGGAGGTGCTGAGGCCCCTACAGTGTTGGCGGCAGGGAAAGAGAGTGACAGGCCGCAGAGGCGGGACCCCGGGGCACCAGCTCCTGCCCCTCCGCAGCTCCAGTTCCCTGGAGAGGGGCTTGCATATGCCTACGTCACCCACATTTCTGGAGGGCAACACAGTGGTCTGAAAGGGTGAACTGACAGATGACCAAGCCACAGAGAGAGCTCTGTGGGGAGAGACCGGGTGACCTCATGTGTCCCCCAGGGCCACAGGCCTAGTGGAACTGACCCCAGCTCGTAGGCCAGCTGGTCAATGGAGCCACTGACTGAACAGATTGCAGTACCATGGGGATCGTTAAGGGTTAGGGACACAGCAGGCTGGAGCTTAGGCCTAGAGCATTTGCCGCTTGGTACAAAGGGTGTCAGCATCCTGTCCTACCTACCAGCCACCTGGCTCCCTGCCTCCTCTTTTTAAGACAGGGCCTTTCTATGTTGCCCTGGCTGGTCTAGAACTTGCTATGCAGACCAGGCTGGCCATGAACTCACAGAGGTCGCCTGTCTCTGCCTTCTGAGTGCTGGGATTTTAAAGCTGTGTACCATCATACCCAGCTCCTGCCACCTTCCACAGACAACCTTAGGACACTTGTGGAAACCCTGTCCCCAGGGGACCCAAGGCTTCCTCCCTGTCAATCTGAGGCCTAAATCCACAGCTTCCCCAATTGCATCAACTCAGTTACTTCTTCCCTTTCCTTTCGTGTTCGGGCAAAGGAAACCACTGTGGTGCAGGGAGGAGGGGCCTGGAATCCTCTTCTCCATCCTCAGACCTCATTGGCTACTTGCTCTATTGGAGAGTGCAGAGGAATCAGCTGAGGGCTGGGGAAAGCCATTCAGGCCAGAAGCTAAGGAGGCTTTGGTCTTCTTCAGGAGAAAACTAGGGGAGACATTGGTCATTCCTGGAACTCGCATCCCTGAATCCAGCCTCCCTCCCCACACACTAGTCCCACCTTCCCACCTTCATCCTACCCCAGGTACCAGGCCCTCTAAGGCAGGACAGCCTTGAACTCAATGTGGCCACTTGTAAATTGTCTTTGTTGTTTTTAAAATTGTGACAGGGTCTTATGTAGCCCAGCCTGACCTCCAACTCACTATGTAGCCAAGGCTGGCTTTGGACTTCTGATTCTCCTGCCTCTACTTCCTGAGTGCTGGTATCACAGGGCTGTACCACAAACACCTGTCCTGCGTGTTATCATGAATAACATAGTTAACAGAGATGAGAGGTGGCCAAGGACATTCCTGGATACTCATATGTAACCTTCCCTTGAAGGACATTGCTAAATCCTGTGGGGAAATAGAAAGTTCAATGCGGTACAAACTGTGTTTATGTGTGTCTGTGTGCCAGTGAGTGGGGTCTGTGACATATCCCAGCGTGGGTGCTGTCTGACCTCTTGTGCTCACATCCCTGTTGAAATTGCCAAAGAGATATATAGGGGTGGGGGAGGGGTCTGGCCATGCACAGGCCCCTTGGGAACTGCTGGTTCATCTCTTCCACACAGAAACCTCTGCCTCAGATTTGTGAAAGAAAAGGTGGAGGAAGGGGAAATTTGGGATGCAAGGAGCCATTTGGGAGTGTATCTCCTCTATATAGCTTCCCAGATATCCTTGTGCTGGAGACCCAGATCTGGGCTAATAAACAGTTCAATTTCTCTTGCTTCTGGTGGTTATTAGGGGTGTGTGTGTGTGTGTGTGTTGGAATTATAGACAGCCATTTCTTCCTATTACTGTCCTTGGCGTGAAACAGATGGAGTAAGGGAAGTTATCAACTGCCAAGACACCTCTGCCTTCTCCATTTCTTTATTCCATGCTCCCATCCCCAGCCCTTAGCTGTGCCTGAGCTGGAATTGCTGAGCTGGAATTGCACTCAATGACTTCTGGGAACACAGGAGCCAGCCTTGACCTTTTCCCTGGGGCCATTGGGAGGCTGTTTTGCTCCTCACAGTGACTCATTAGGCCCAGGGCCTCCGAGTTCTCCTTCAGAGGTATACCTTAGCAGGTGAGATAGGGCTGCTCTTCAGCCCAAGTCTGTGAATAATCTGGGGAACTGGAAAGGTGGTTTCAGAGGGATAGACAAGCCTAGCTACTCCTTCCCAAAGTCCTCCTCCTTTCAAGACTGGGATAGACAAGCCTAGCTTCTCCTTCCCAAAGTCCTCCTCCTTTCAAGACTGGGTTTCTCTGTTTTCTCTGTGTAACAACTCCGGCTGTCCTCTGGAACTCACTCTGTAGACCAGGCTGGCCTCTAACTCACAGAGATCCGCCTGCCTCTGCCTCCCGCGTGCTGGGATTAAAGGCGTGCGCCACCAACGCCCGGCTGATTTTTAAAAATTTTAAAGTGTGTGTGTGTGTGTGTGTGTGTGTGTGTGTGTGTGTGTGTGTGTGTGTGTGTGAAGGTTATGGGTATTTGCATGTGCATATGGTGTCTGAGCAGGCCAGGGAAATTGGATTCTCTAGTGCTAGAATTGCAGGCAGTTGTAATCAGCCTGTTGTGGGTGCTGGGAAGGGAACATAGGTCTTCTGGAAGAGCAGTAAGTGCTCTTAGCCTTGGAACCATCTCTCCAGCCCCTTTTCATTCCTTCTTCCTCCTGTGCTACTGGGGATATCAAGACTGTTGACCAAGCAGTCTACTAGTGTGAAGTGATTTTATATATATATATATTTTTTTTTTGAGACAGTGTCCTATGTAGATTAGGCTGGTCTCAAATTCACTGTGTAATAGCTGAGGATGACCTTGAAATTGTGATCCTCTTGCCTCCACCCCCCAAGCTGGAGTTACTCCACAAACTGGGTTTATGCTCTACTAGGGATGAAACCCAGGGCTCCCTGCATGCTGGGCATTGCTCTGTCTGCTGAGCCCCACCCCAGCCTCAATGTCTAGTTCTCTGTGTTTTTCTTCAGTTTCCCTAAATGGGCTCAAGGAATGATCTTTCTTCCACTGCCAGAGGCTAGGGTCTCAAGAGCCTGATCTGGGGCTGAGGTGACAGTGACTGACATTCCTGAGTTTGCATCTCTAGGACCCACGAGGTAGTAAGAGCCAGGTGGGCTTGGAAGCTGCCTGGAATCTGCACTGGGGAGTAGAGGCAGACAGTTTTGGAAGTGGGGTGGAGGACCAAGCTAGCTAATCCAGACCAGCCTGGCTGGCGAGCTCTGGGTTGTGATAGAGACCTTGCTTAAGTAAATTAAGAGGAGACAGATGGAGAAAAGACACCTGAAGTCAACCTCTGGCCTCTACACACATACCTGCACCTGTGAACTCAGGCATACGCATACACACACACACATAGAAGTGGGGGGGGATCTGAGTTAGATGTGGCCATTCCCAGCTATAATCCTTGCACTGGGGAGATGAAGGTTCCTGGAGAATTGGAGTTTTGAGTCCATCCCAGACTACATACTGAGTTCTAGGCTAGCCTGAATTACATACCAAGATCCTGTTTAAAACGTGTGTGTGTCGCCGGGCGGTGGTGGCGCACGCCTTTAATCCCAGCACTCGGGAGGCAGAGGCAGGTGGATCTCTGTGAGTTCGAGGCTGGGCTGGACCGACAGCCTCCAAAACAATACAGAGAAACCCTGTCTCGTAAAAACCAAAAAAACAAAAACAAAAACAAAAAAACGTGTGTGTGTGTGTGTGTGTGTGTGTGTCCATCCACTCCGGCAGTACATATACTAAAATTGGAGCAATATGGAGATTAGCATGGCTCCTGCTTGAGAATGACAAGAAAAGTCATAAAGTTTTCTGTTTTCAAAATAGTTTAAGGAAGAAACAAAGACAAAGGGGGACTGATGAGGTTGCTCTGTAGGTAAAGACCCTTGCCAAGCCTGACTCCCTGTGTTTACTCCCTGGGACCCCAAGGTGGAAGGCAAGAACCAACTCCTGCCAATTGTACTCTTACTGCACATGAGCACTGCAGCTAGGGCATGCGCACTCAGAGAGGCTCTCTAGCCTGGCCTTCAACGCCACTCCAGTCCCAGACAGGGCTTAAGTTACCCAATAGTGGTCATCTCTAAATTGTCCGGAGAGGGGAAATTCCAGTGGGGTGCAGGCCTGTGGCCTCTGTACTCTTGCAGATTTGTCTAGCCTTCTGACATTGCAACAGACAATTGCCAAAGTTCATGAACTAGAACCAGGTCAATGAGTTAGAAAAAAATGTCAAAAAGGCACACCTTAATCCTAGTACTCAAGAGGCAGAGGCAGGTGGATCTCGGATCTCTAAGAATTTGAGGCAAGCATGGTCTACAGAGTGAGTTCCAGGACAACTAGGACTACTCAGAGAAACCCTGTCTTGAAAAACCAAACAAAGCCAGGCATTGGTGGTGCACTCCTTTAATCCCAGTACTTGGGAGGCAGAGGCAGTCGGATCTCTGTGAGTTCGAGGCCAGCCTGGTCTACAGAGCTAGTTCCAGGACAGCTTCCAAAGCAATACAGAGAAACCCTGTCTCAAAAAACCAAAAAAAAAAAAAAAAAAAAAAAAAAAAAAAGAAAGAAAGAAAGAAAAGAAAGAAAAGAAAAAAACAAAAAGAAAAAAATGATGCAAGTTTCTGATTTTGAAAATGTTTTTAAAATGTGTGTGTGTGTGTGTGCGTGTTCGAATGAGCATGTGAATGCAGGTGCCTAGGGGGCCAGAGATATCCATCAGACCTTGTGGGAGCTGAGGTTACAGATGGTGGTGTGGGGCCTAATGTGGATGCTGGGAAGTGAACACATGTCCTCTGCAAGAGCAGCAGGTGCTCTGCTTAACAACTGAGCCGTCTCTCTGGGCCCGTTTCTAATTTTGTGTTAGTTTACATTCATAGCCATCTTGAGACGCATGCAGACTGTAGGTTGCACACGCCTGTCCTCTCTCTCCTTCCACTGGCTACCTTTGTGTGCTGGGTGGGCCTCCAGCTTCCAGCTAGAATCTTCATCAAGGATCTTTCTATCTAGTGCTTGGAATCAAGTCCAGGGCTTTGCCCACAGTACATTCACACACAGTGAGTTTAACATACTGAGCTGAAATTTCTCCCCGAATACCCACATGTGCTCTCCATTTAGGTCTTGGTCAAATGCCGCCGCCTCAGAGAGGCCTCCCCTGAACACACCTGCTTCCCTTTGGAACCCTTCTCTGCTTCTCACCAGTCTGTCCCATTAGAAAAAGAGCAGCTGGGGCTGGGGCGGTGGCTCGGCAAAGGCTTGTTATTCAAGCTGCAGGACCTGAGTCTGGATCCCCAGCTGATGTCATTGTCTCAGACGGGGCTCAGTTTGTAGAGTGCTGCCTTGGCACATCTAGTCCTGCTCTCCATCCCCAGAACTGCGTAGACAGGCCATGGTGACCCACACCTGAGTCTCAGAACTCAGGCAGTAGCAGCAAGAAGATGAGATGGTTAAAGTCAGCCTCAGCTACTTAGTGAGCTCAAGGCTAGCCTGAGCTACAAAAGAACCTGTCTTGGGGCTGGAGAGATGGCTCAGAGACTAAGAGTACTGGCTGCTCTTCCAAAGGTCTTGAGTTCAATTCCCAGCAAACACATGGTGGCTCACAACTATCTATGATGAGATCTGGTGCCCTCTCCTGGCCTGGAGGCATACATGCAGGTAGAACACTGTATACATAATAAATAAGTAAATCTTTTAAAAAAATGTCTACCACAAAACAAAGGTAGATTTTTTGTTGTTGTTTGTTTTCAAGACAGGGTTTCTCTGTGTAATAGCCCTAGCTGGAACTCATTTTGTAGACCAGGCTGGCCTCAAACCCACAGAAATCCACCTGCTCCTGCCTTCAGAATGCTGGGATTAAAGGCATGCACAACCATGCACAGCTCACAAATTCAGATTCTTAAACTCTTGAAGGAAGAATTTCAGATCTAGAAGGTCTGAGCTGACCCAGGAACATGTTTTCATCAAACATTTCAAACAATTTTAAAAGGCAGCGGGAGGGATGGTTCAGTGATTAAGAGCATTGAATGCTCTCCCAGATGACCTGAAGTCTGATTACCAACACCCACATGACGGCTCACAACTGTCAGTTACTCGAGTCCCAGGGAATCTGAAACCCTCTTCTAACCACCAAGGGTACCAGTCTCTCATGTGGTGCACAGACATTCATGCAGACAGAACATGCGTACACATAAAAACAAATACATAAACCCACTGGTGGTGGCACATGCCTCCAATCACAGCCCTCAGGGGGCAGGGGCAGGCAGATCTCTGTGAGTTCAAGGCCAGCCTGGTCTACAGAGCGAGTTCCAGAACAACACAGAGAAACCCTGCCTAGTACAGAAATAAAAAGCAGCTGGAGAGATGGCTCAGTGGTTAAGGACACTAGTCAGTTTCCTAGAGGCCCTGAGTTCAATTCCCAGCTACCACACAGTGGCTCACAACCATCTAGAATGACATCTGGTGCCCTCTTCTGGCCTGCAGATATACATGTAAGCAAAACACTGTATATAGTAAATAAATCTTTAAGAAAGAAATTAAATAAATGAATAAATAAGAATGCACAGTCATACATTTTTTTTTCTAAGACAGGGTAGTCCTGGCTGTCCTGGAACTCACTCTGTAGACCAGGATGGCCTCAAACTCAAGAAATCCTGCCTGCCTCTGCCTCCCAAGTGCTGGGATTAAAGGTGTGCGCCACCAACGCCCAGCCAAGTCATTCATTTTTAAAATTAAAAATCCA